AATTTTCTGTTAGGTAGGTGTGAATCAGTTATTTGCTCCCACTTGTAGTAAAGTCTACCATGCATCATAAATAAACTGAAAATAAGTTGGGTAAAAGTCAAAGTCAGAAGCCACAATGTGCTTGCTTGACAGTTTTTATGTCTCAAACAATAAATGGGAACCTATGAGAAAATGCAGACGGCAGCACAAACCTGCAGAGGCAGGAAAAGATCAATCCTGCAGCCCCAGATTAAACTCAGCGACAAATTTAGATGAACAGAAGACTCAAATTGCACTTTTAAGTAATAAGTGAGTCATGTCAGTTCAACAACATCCTGTAATCATCGTTTATCCTCAATGCTGACAAGCCCAAACATAATACCAAGGTTCTGACACCAGAGGGCGCTGTGCTTCACCAAAGCAGGCCCTACAATGAGGACAAATCTGTAAGGAGACGTTTACAGTGTCACCAGAGGTCATTAGGCAAAAGGTCAGCAGGCAGGAGTGTCTGAGAGCAGTCAACATGTCAGCACCACTAATCCCATCAGCCTTTCACTTCAGGGCTTCAGGAAATCAACAGACATGCTCAAACATTTGGCTTTCTAAGCAAATAAAAGCACTCAAGCATGCATGTCTACAGCCTAGGGAGGCTTTTAGGGACACTGAAAGTTATTCTTCAACCACTCAGAGGCTGAGTTCTTGGAAAGTTTGTGTCAGTTTAATCTGGTGAATGGCACAAACAACACAAGTGGCATATCTGATAAATGTAAATTATAAATGAATAACAAATACATAATGTCCAGTAACGACTATATAAATTAGTCTTTAAATTCATCCTGCTAAAATACAGCATCTAATGACCTGCAATGACCCGAGACATTTGACCTTTTCAATATAATTCTTAACAAACTCTTTGTATGTATGTATGAATATTTGGTATATGTACAAGTTCTGAGTCTACTCCTCTGGTTTCATAATTTCTTCCACAAAAAACATCTCAGAAAATCTCTAAGTGAAAAGTATCTGGATTTGAAACTTTGTTCATGTGGGCTGCAGACAAGAGCAGATGGCAGTCCTGTTTCTGGGCCACTATGATCCTACTTTCCCTAAATATAGGCTTTGACCCGCAGCATCATTTAGAGGAATATGTAACAGATTCCAATCTAATGTGGGCCAAAGTTCACCCCGAATTTACACAACCAGTGCCAAACAGCAGCCTTTATAACCCATATTTCACTTGGATTGCTTTGGTTTGAGAACACTTTCTTTCTGTCTTCTTGCTCGAAGCAGCTTGTTTGAGATGGCTTTGAAATCTGTTAAATGCACATGAAACCGTCCTGCAAACAGAATATGATCCAAATTAAGAGTGATGGAATAAAGATGACCTGGCCCATTTTCAATCCCTGCAGCTGAGGCATTCCCTGATTTCTTTCCTCCCTCAGATAGACTCCAACACCACCATCTTTGGACTTGCTGGGTAGTCGTTGTTCTGCTCTGTAGCTCGTGGTGAGCTTGCAGGTTCTGGTTAGAGTTTCCCCTCCTGCACCAGCACAACAAGAACTGTTATAGATATCTGCAGTCCAACACGGTGAAGTCTGAGTTGGTCTGCAGGCAGATGCACTGGAGGGGTAGCTCAAGGTTATCAAGAACCACCATGACAATAAGGAAAAGCTGATTGGGAGTAACAGATATTTTAAAAATACAAAACACTCATATTTAGCACCTTGAAATGTTGACGAAATGTTTGCCCTTGTTTTTCTGGCTCATTTTGGACTGTAGGAAATTGGCAACAAGATAATCCTAAAAAGACAGAGTTTGATTTTCGGACTCATCTGAAAGGATTTGTCTACACTGCTGAGTGATAATGCCTGAAGCTGTCAAGCTATTAAAAGTCTGTGGTCTTGTCTGCTTTATTAAGCATTTAATTCCATTTTGACTCTGATAAAGGACTGAAAAATCACACAAAATGTTGCTCACAATTTCCTGTGTTCAAGGTGATTGAAATTCCTTTTCAATCACCTTTAAGCCAGCAAAAATCAGCAAATCTTCACAGCAGAGAAGCTAAAAATAGAGCCTTTTTACTGTTTCTGCTTTTCAAATATGCTGCCAATGTGCTGCTTTTGTCAATTAACATAGATTAAAAGAGTAATATTTTTGTAACTAATCTGTATGAATGGTGTGACCCAGAATCATTTTGTCGGTTCATACTTAATTAAATAGTGTGGAGAACAACAGAGGAGACGTTTCATCCGGGGGTGATTAACAAAGACCAAGTAAGGCACAACAAAAACACCTCCAACGACCTTGAGGTTGAATGCTCCCACATGCAAAAACAGCAGCTAGATTACAGCACCGTGGAGCTGCACACTCAGTGCATAAATATGACACAGCCTCAGCCTGCATCAAGCCTTTGCTGCAAGCCTGTGTGAGCGGGTGAACTTTCACCTAGATATAGAGCAGACGGAGAGAGGGAGGGCAGGAGGGAGAGGGAAGTGCAGGGAGAGTGAGACCAAGCCTTTAAGAAGGGACTAGAGGGATTTAGAGCCACAATCTGGAGGATATGAAAATGTCCAAATATAAAGATTTTTTTATGGTATTTTATTACAGAGAGAAGGCTGGTGAAAGAAGGCGGTCTTATTGCAGCGTCTGAGGCAACCTCTGAGCCCCGGAGATGAATATCCTGCGGGAGTTACAGCTATTGTGGCTAAACATAATGATATAATCTGTTAAGACTCTGCTGCACATTCTGGAACATATTCCTAGCCAATCTGCAGTTATAACCACATATTGGTGCTCATGACTAAGCCAACTCAGTGCCTTTCCAACCCTCCACTCCGAGTAGCAGTGATTATTGTTAAACAGCAAGGGCAGCTTAATATGCACATCAGCTGCCATCGCCACACTAAACAGCCCCCTCAGTATAAACAGATCAGCTGCACACAGATAGACTGACTCCAGTATGATTTTCCTGTTTTTCTGCCCAGCCCCACCTCTCTCTGTGTACTCTGTGTCTATGCATAATAAGGACAGCCAGTGAAGCACGTCTCCTCACCAGTGCAGCCTGAGCTCTACTCATCCCTCGTACACCTGCCACAGCAGCTCAGCCTGCACACATTTAAACCTCCATGACCACAGCTGCGAAAAAGAACAGCAGGAAATCTGTGTACCTGCGTGCATGGTGTCTTATGCAACGTTAAACAGACTCATCGGGATACATGACTAATATAATTACATAAGAGCCTGTTCCTATAATAACTAAAACGTTGTATTGTATGGGACATAGCATTAGAGCAAGGCCAAGTGCCGCTGTTATGCACAAGTGCAAACGAGTAATGGAGGAACAAGAACAGCAAGCAGAAGTAAACAGAGTAGTAAGCAGTGAGTGACAAAACCTGAGCGTCTGTTTAGACTTTGAAATCTCTTTTAGTCCTTGTGCACCATCCCCTGCTGCACAGCACGTGTTAATAAAATGACTTCACAGGAGATGCTTTTGAAAATCATCGAGTTACTGCTAATAAAGATCCACACGTCTCTGAGACCCTGGTGTAACAGCAAGAGTGAAGTTTCCTATAACTGGTTAATAGATTACAAACTTATGAAGCCACGTGGGAGAGGACAAAGCTACCCAGAGGTCATAGTGAATGCAAGAAGAGCCAGAAGTTCTCCTTTTACCAGTATGCTCATAATTATCTCCTAACCATCAACTTTTTCTAGCTTGAGCAGTGCCAGATCAACGACCAGCTCCAGAAATGTATCAAATATTCCCGAATCACAGCTCAGGCAGTAATAGGGATGAGTCTGGGGCGTGATGTTTGACACATAACTACTATGACCCTGTGATAACAGTGTTTACAAGTCTCTGCTCTCCTTCCCATGGCTGTCAGCTGCGTGCAGCTAGCTAAGCAACAGCTGCAGCCACTCTGCAGGAAGCTGCTGCCAAAGCGCTTAAAAAGTAACAAAAATCCATTATTTACTGCAACACATCTGAAAGCAGCCGTTTTTACATTTTCCTAGGCTTGCCCCGCAGTCTGCCTCCCTCGTTTGCACGGCAGAAAGCGCTGACAGCTCCGGAGCAAGCCTACGTGACACACACTTGTTTACTTCATCCGCCCGTTAGCCCAGCTGCTCGCATACAGCACACTCTGTACTCCGTGCCAGCGAAGACTCGCAGCAACGTCACGTACAAAGGAGCAAATAACGAAAAATAAAAGACAGGACTCAGCGTCCTACCTGGCCTCTCCTGCGCGTTTCGTAGAGTGTAGGAGCCTCTCATGATCCCCGTTTTAAAAGAGTCTTTTTCCCAGCTTGGTGAGCGCAGTACGCTTAGAGCAGCTCGGCCACTCAAATGAATGAAGCGACTCAGTCTGCGGGAGCGTGCGCACACCCACCTCTCTGCGTTAGCGCTCATCCACTTTCATCCCCACCTCTCCACGAAAACAGACTTCTAAGAATGCCTTAACCCCATTTCATTTTCTTCTTTTGAGATTTAGAAATATAATATCATGTGGGAGGCGGGGGGTCATTAGAAACACCGCTTCACATTGGTTTAAATATCTGTTTGCATGAGGTTATTCCCAAATCTCCTTTTTTAAAACACTGGTCCACAAATAGCACGTGAAAAGCATCTAAAACAAAAAGTTAAGATCACTGAAAAGAACAGAGGGGGTTTTACCTTTGCAATTGACTGAATTACTTACCACACTCACCTGTTTGTCGACTTTGACCTTGGCCTTTACACTGTTTATGTCTGGATAAGTAAAGTCAGATTTTACTGAATTGTAAGCAAACTGAAAGCAGGCAGTGCTGTTATAGTACAGGAGAACAGAGCTTCCATATCTTGTCTATAATGCGTGCTCCCCTTTGTTTATTCTTTAGGTTCCACTATGGGTGTACATTAAAGCACTTTTAAAAAATACATAAAACATTGCACCCCACAGAAATCAGAATATTTAAAAACATAAACATTACAGTCATGACAAATGTTATACAGAAGACAAGTAAAACATACACTTTCAGCTAGATTTCCAGAAAAGAAACTAAACCAAAAGAGTAGTTAAAAGTTCATCTGTTTCTTCATTTATCTTTATATTGCTGTAGGGTACATTTAAGGAAGCTGGGATTTACGTTGGGAAGTGAAAATCTGGCCCTTCGTTATCTAATTTAGTGACATCTATGACTCTAAACTAAGACTTAGCATACTGTACTGATATGATGGCATTTTAGATTTTTTTTAAATGCACAATGTGGCTTTTCATTTTACCACATTGCCTTATGGCAATTTAATCTGACCACTGCTTTGTTTGACAATCAAAGCCAAAAAGCTGCATCTTTAACTACATTTACAGTACAAGCTGACTTCCAAGATTTCTTAAAGGAGTCCATCATTGGTTAGTATTAGGAATAGTAGCAGTAGGTTCTCTATCTTCCCTGTTGCTTTGCTGAAGCATCCGTTTTTCTTTGAACGCTTCTCTCAGTGCAGCCAGGATTAAGTCGCCTGTCTCTGTTGATTTTCGGGAGCCAGCCTAACAGCACAAAACACAAAAGTTTGTTCAGCCCACCCACTGTGTACAAGTATGGATGCTCAATTAGATCTTTTCCTCTTACATTTTTGAAACTTGCACTCTTTCTGAACCTCTCTGCAGGAGCTGGCAGAGGGGGAGGTGGAGGGAAAGGAATCGGAGTGTTTGTCTGACTCTTGTCTACCGTGTCCATGTCCTTTGGTGTTTGTTGAAAAGTGTTGCTGTCTTTGATGGAAGGGACTGGTGGCAACGGGCCCTTCTTCAGATAGATGGAAGCCCCTGCAGATCTAGGCAGTGTCTGAGAGATTGGGCCTATGTGCATATGACAGAACACTGTCTTAAAAAACATAAACAATAGTATTTTTCCTGAAACGAAAACATAAATAAATATTTGCACATACTAATAAACTTAACGGGATATAGTACCTCTGTTTCTCAGCTCTCTCTGCACAGCCTTCAGCCCTCCAAACTTGTTGATGATGCAGTCAACAGCTTCGGCAATGTCTTTGCCTTTCAAGTCTTCTTCTGTGAGTTTGGCCTGCATCAACAGTCTCCTCATAGCCGGGTCAAGATCCTTAAACTTCACCAAGCAGACATAACAGGGAGTCATTTATCATGCTATTATTAATGACTAATAACAGCTTAACAGTTACCCCATTAACATTTCACTGTAGAGTTTGACATACAGAACTTGAAGCTGGAGGAGCTGCCGTGGAAGATGTGTCCATAGGGAGATCTTTCTCCCCATTCAAACTGTGCAATGGTTCAATTCTAAAGAGAACAAAAGAACACAAAACTCTTTAACGCTCTTTCCTTCCCTCTAAAGACACGAAGTGGTGCTATCTTTCTCACCCCAAATCATCAGCAGGCAGTTTCCTCGTTGAACTGCCCACTGCTGTCATTTCAATCATGCTGGTCATCTTTTCTGTAAATATAAAGGTTGTGTTAAAATACGAGACAGGGCTGAGCCTTTGAGAGCATTTATACGTGTAGATGTGTTTGTTGTTATTCTAACCACAGGCAGCCTCCACGGTATGATGAAACTCTTCTGCCTCAGTCTCATTTGCAAAGTTGATGCCTACCTGGTAGTCCTGCGAAAACACAGCAAATCTACCCAAATCCAACCTAAAAGTGGCACTCTGATAATCAGAAAGCACGCATCGATGACAAAACAGGATCACTTACATCTGCGGGGAAAGTATGGAAGAAAGCACGCGCTGCAGTGTACTTGAATGGAATGTACATTTCCTGCTCCCACAGTAACTTGGCACGCTGTGTTTCAGAATGAGAGGAGTTGTTAGAGTTGCACAAGGAAAAGCACAGGAGCACCCATCTGGATGAGTCTTCCTATTGTTGCTGATGGAAACTTCAAAGTAGAGGAAACACTTCAAGCTGCCCCGTGCTGTGCCATGCTGGAAGCAGCGTGCACGTTTCAGCGTATGTGCCAGTTTGAGTGGGTGGAGTGAATGTGAGCAGTAATGATGTTCTTTTTACCTTGACGCAGTATAAGTGCAGGAAATAGGAATGCATGGACGAATCCTCAATGAGACACACCACACCGCATTCTAAGCGACTCCAGCTTGGCCTCTCCCCTGGGGTACTTATGGCCTTTAGTATCTGTGCTACTGTAGATTTCATCAGCTGAAATAGACAGTAGTGGTCCAAAGTGCATCAATACATGATGTGCAATTTATTAAGATACAAGGCACAGGCATGTTCATGTTGGTGTTAAATTTTAGAAAATTTAATGCAACTTCCTGGTGTCTTTGTGTAAATGTCTCTTCTGTAATGATCTTGTGGAGTTAGCTTTGGTTTGTTTTTCTGATATTTTGCATTAACCCTGTCCTTAAGACACTGTGCGCCCGTCCTCCTACACAATCACTTCTTTAATGAGTAACATCCGATTTTAAAAAAAGAAATCATTTACTTTCGAAACCAGCTCACGTTTCCTGACTGACAGTAACCCTTTGAGTCATTCTAGTTTCATTTTACAGCAAAGATGCGGCTCCTCAGAGAGACTGATGACCTCTTTTCCATTTAACTTCTTTCTGTTGCTTCAATTAGGTAATAGTGAACTACTTTTAAGTAATCCTGTAGTTTAACTACATTTTGTAATATCTTTCTGGTTGTTCAACTACATTCAATTTTGCGTGGTGATTCAAATAGAGTAGCTATTTTTTTTAAATAGTTTTTGTGCAATGAAATGACGAGATGTGCAGAGGAGGCATAGTGGCTATATTAGACAATGGATGCTAAAGATAGAGCTGCCATGCAGGAGGGGAAAAGGAAGCTCTCAGAGATGCACTGAGCACTTCTTTACTCCACTGACCTCTTTTCACTGCCCACGTGTTTATATTACCACTGCAGCATGCCATTGCCTTTTTGTCTTCTCTCTCCCTTAGTCTGTGTTTTGTCCTGCCTCCCTACAATCTCTTTTCTTTTCTCTTCTCTTACCTCTCAACCCCCAGCTGGTTATGACAGATGGCTTTCCCTCGCTGAGCCTGGTTCTGCTCGAGGTTTTATTCTGTCAAAAGTACATTTTTTTCTTCTCCCTGTTGCAAAATGCTTGCTCATATGGGGTTGCTTGATTTGTGGGGTTTTCTCCAATACTGTAGGGTCTTTACTTTACAATTTAAAGCACCCCGAGGCAACTGTTGTTGTGATTTGGGGCAATATAAATGCACCTGAACTGAATACTGTAATATAGTGTAATTTGACCTGCATTACACCTCTCTTCCTCTAACCCTGCAAAGGCCCAGGCAATGTATACATCAGGCAGATAACCATACACACTTGACCTATGTGTAGTGCATGTGAAAAGAGGTGGAAGCTGCTCACAGTCTGCAGAATGCAAAATCCAAACCTCGGCCCTATAGATTTACCACTGCATGTTCTTCTTCACTACATCCATGAAGCTTCTCTACAGTCTTTCTCTTTTCTTCCTGCCTGGCAGCTCCACTGTCTACTGTCTCTCCTGTGCATGTGTCCAAACCATCTCTGCCTTGTTTCTCTAACCTTTCCTCCATTCTGGTCACTCCCAATGAAAGTTGAAGCATCTTCAGCTCTGCCACCTTCATGTCCACTTCCTGTTTTTTTGTTTGTTCCACTTTTTCCACACCGCACATAATAGCAGGTCTAAGTCCCATATTGTAAACCTTTCTTTGCACTGCTAGCTATCCTGCTGTCACAAATCTCCCGCCCCGTTCGTCTCCACCCACTCTACCCTGCCTGCACTCTTTAGTCTTCTTAAGTAGGACTAATCAACATGTCTTTCCTTTTCTTTTAATGAAACCAAACCTGGAACCTTGCACATTTTCAGTGGCATTTAATGTTTCGGTTCATGTATATTAGAGTTTCTGTCGATTTTTGTTGTGATTTGAATGTTTTAGCATTATAAATTGTTATAATTGTCTTTCATTGTGGTGGAGGCATGTGGGTTTGGCTCAGCGACAGGGGAGGGGTGGAGCACGGGCTAGGCATTGTATCTCTTGTACTTGTGCAGTAGTACACTTGGGCCAGGTGTGTGGAGTGAGTATGGACGGGCAGTTTGTGAGGTTGTGTTAGCAGGTGAGTGAACTTGACGTTGTTTGGAAAGACAATTTTATTGTGAAAGCAAACACAAGTAATAAAGGAAGGAAGCACCATAAAAGAACCATCTGTACGTGTCTCAGGGAACCCACAATGGCAGTGACATGCTGCATCATAAATTACTGTCAGTAGTTTGTACTTCAAAATGCACTTTCAAAGCAGCTTTTGCTCACCACAGGCAAGTCAGCCTCATCCAAACATGGAATAACAAGACTGCAGACTATAAGAGATTAATCAAGATATCTAATGTTCTCTGTTGTGCTGGTGACACATCTGTCTAGAATGTGTTAGTCAGGCTATACTGGCCCTCCTGGATCTGGATGTGTGTTCTTCACACTACAGATTTTCAGTTTAACATAATTCAGTTTTATCTACTGAGTGCCAGTTCACAACACCAGACGCAATGCAGTTTGTGTGCATGTAAACACAGGATACCATACAAGAACTTTATAGTGCCCTAAAAAGGGGTCATTAACCATTTACATGCCACTATAAAGGATGTATTTGGGAACTCTGGAAGTTAACCCTAGAATTTTGTTGGAGGATATAAAATAATGTATTTTTTTCACTTTTGTGATTTTTTTTCTCCATTTAGTATTTTTATGTTGCCAATCAAATGGCCATCTATGGCTGCACCATGAAGACGATTTCTTTCCTATCAGTGTCTCTGTTCTGGGTCTGCTCTGTGTCTTTTTTCCCAAATTGTTTCTTCTTGGTAGTGATAATGTCAGTGTAATGTAATGAACTGGGAGAGCCAGTTTGTGCATAGCCTAATTTGATCTACACCAGAGAGAGCCGGCACAGTGCCTCTGTGTTTCGCAACAGAAATGTTTTGGCCAGAATGAACACAGCCTCTACTCACTAAGCAAGAGAAAACAGAGGGAAGGTAACAAATACACCACAGAATTTAAAATTTAATTAAATAACTGTCTAAAGCCCTAACACTGAAAATTGTTTAAAAATGCCTAATTTATTTACTGCGGAGTGGTATTTAAATAATATTTAAATATTGTGGTTGATGCTCTGGCAACACAACGGTGCCAGACAAAACAAGCATCTGAGACTGCAGATGACAAGATTAGGCTAAATGTAAAACTAAAACAGCTCTAACACATGACCCATTCATACACCAGGCTCCTTCTGATAGTAGCAGATGATAACATGAAAACAAGTGTGAGCATGAAATGATTCAGAGAGACATACATCATAGTACATCGAGCTACTACAGTACTATTATCATCATGTAGAATTTAACAGATGGTGGGAATGTGTTTTACTCTCTTAAAACACATCCAATTTTCTCAGCTTTGTTATTTATTTTTCCATCATATTTTACAGCATTTATGAATAAATGTATCAAATAAATGTAACAAATAAACACCAAACATTTTAAATTGGACGCTAATCTGGTTAAAATGTCACTACACATGCAGCAAAAATGAGTATATTTCAGCTGTTTTCATACAAATTAATGAAGTGTACCTTACACTGCGGCTCCAGCAGACCGATGAGGATGCCTTTCTCACGGATCGTCAGGAGGTCACTTATAACCTGACTTCCAGTAATCAGAGCCAAGGCCATCACAGAGACTCCTGTTTTCCTCGCCTTACCTCAACCCTCTTAATCTCGCCTTTCCTCCTGTTCCAGATGCGTCCAGTGGACCTGTCCTGAACACACCACTTCCTGATCCTAACCATAGTTTGAATGGTAACGTTTCCATTACAGCATGTCATCATGCAAATTTATGGACGCCATGTATCCACTCAGCTTTGAGTAACCAAATGATTGAGGGTGCATACTCAAAGGTCACTTGTACAATCGTCAGTGAAACAAAGGAGTACTTATTAACCATATGTGGGATAAAGTGTAAATAAAGTCGTTTTTAAGGAAGGCAGTTCCCTGTTCGGGTTGGGGCACAACTTTTAAAGACAAACACAAAACTAAACACCTACATTCATACATTTGCTTAAGTTCTGTACCCAAGGAAATTATTTTAATTTCCCTGAATATTTCCATTTCCATGTTGCTTTAAATCCACGACCCTTCCAGTGGAAAATATTGACTAATTTTCTCCCACTGCATGAGATCAGGGTTTCACGTAGAAATCTCAGTAGAAGGCATTAAAATCTGACATTGTTTAAGATTCAGTCACAAGGTTTAAAAAGTAGTTAGTATAATTATGTTCTCTAATGGTTTTGTGTACATGAAACATCCAAGTCCAATTGCCACACTTGAATTAGAGAGCTTGTGTTTTGGCTTTGCACACTTTAGAGTGAAAAAGTGAACAACATTTATCTTGAAGCCAAGTACAACGGGAAACACTAACGGCTTGGTAAAGAAAGACATTTCAAGCAAGCGGAAATGTTTGGCAAGATTAATAACGAGCATGAACCATGTTAACACCTTCACTTCTCAAGGTTTATTAGTCCCTTGACAGCGCAGTGACATAACCACGTAAACAGTTGTGACTTGAAAAGAGGAATTAGTTGTATGTTATCTTGCCTAAGTAACTATCTTTTATGGCTTCCATATATCGTCTTTCATTGGTTACAGAGAGAAAAAAATCAGTTCCTAATGCTTATACAAAGTCTCTAAGCTTAATGCTTTTTCTTGTGTTACTCACAATCAGAATAAATGTAAAGTTTCCAAGTTTCTTAGTGTTCTGTATAAAATGAGCTGCCATGTAAAATGTGACAGGACACCAATGTAAAAGATAAAAAACAACATTTTATTTCACTTTAAGTAGTGAGAGTTAAAAATAAATGGCATTCTTTAAAGTGAGTGCAGGAACACAAAGAACGAGTAAAGTACAACAATTGATATGTGGATGGAAAATGTTGCTACTCTGGTTTTAATGCTACTTTTCTTCTGTGATCATGTTACCATGTTCTTCAGAAAACAATACTTCTCTCTGACTGTTACACACTCCTGATCCATCTCCATCCCCTCTGTCAGCTTCCTCCACGCCATCAGCTCCCGGAGGAACGGGCCTCTTGCGTCTCTTCAGCAGAGGGTTGTTGGATGTATCCAAGTCTTTGATCTTCACCTGGTCGTAGTCCACGCGCATCGTGGCCAGGGCACTGGTCATTTCCTCCTGTTGGAAGACACAGTTTGTGCTTTAAACCGGAGATAATGGTCCACTGCCATCTTGTGGCCAGATTCTGAAGTAAATACAATTCTCACCTTTACATCTTCCCATAGTTCCTTGTCCTCTGTCAAAACTTGAGAGGTGTACAAAGGTGTTTGAGGGACCACCATGGATTGCTGTTAAATAAAAACATTCACATCAGCGTGTGCAATGGAAGAAAACACAGAGGTGAACGGGCACAGGTGTTAACTCACACTAATCCAAGGATGGTTCATGAACTGTCCAATGGTCATCCTCTCGCTGGGGTCTGTCTTCAGTAACTGAATGATGAGCTGTTTGGCTGCAGGTAACATTAAAAAAGACAGTCAAGCAATCCAACAGGGCAACGTGCATGTGGAATAAAGATATGTTTATGGGTTTATCTCAGTTGTTATGTTGCAAAGGTTCTCAATTCTTCAGTGATTGGAAACTGGAAACGAGAACTAATGTAAAAGAACAAAAAAAAATCCTCTTCTCTCAAGAGAACAAAAAGATACACACAGACAACACCATGGGAAGTTTAAACATACAGAGATCTAGTGTTGCAAACCATGAGGCTCCTATTACAGCGGAAAGTTTATGCAGGTCATTTCCACTCTCTCTGTTAAGCACATGATTATGTTGTTAAAGCGTGCGAGGATTAAAGTGAGGCTGAACGCTGAAGCGCCGTGGCGCAGTAATTTACACTTTGTGGACCAATAGCATATTCATTTAGAGCCTCTCTCTACTTGCATTTTATTTCACAGCAGTGCAAGTATTGTTTAGTTATTCTGTTAGTCTGACCTTCCTCAGAAACGTCTGCCCACTCTGGGTTCAGAAACTCATATTGGCCCAACCTGATCCTCTGTTTCATGCCTGGAGAGATAGCCTGGCTTGTGTTTGAGTAGAATGGAGGAAACCCACAGAGTCTAGAGAAGAGAAGAGAAGAGAAGAGAAGAGAAGAGAAGAGAAGAGAAGAGAAGAGAAGAGAAGAGAAGAGAAGAGAAGAGAAGAG